CCTCGTGCCCCACGCCCTGACAAACCACCTTCCCCCAGTGCCCATCCGCCACCCCGACGCCTACGTTTCTCCTGCACGTAGAGATAACCCTCCATCGTGTATGGGCTGATGTTTTTGTGCTCGTGAGGATTCTCCTTCATCTTCTTCATCAAAGACTCAACCTCGGACCTCGTGCCTTCAAACCGATTTCTTGTCTGCAAGTGAAAACAGGAATGCATTCTGCGACGCACGGACCTAACAAGCTGTTTGTATTATGAGTTTTGTGAAAAAGTTGTTTCAGAAGAACGAAACAGGTCTGAAGCCTTGTTAGAAAAAGAGTAATTCCGTACCGAGGGAGGAACGCAGAGCTGCAACGCCAGCCTGCCAAAGCCCTGCACACGCGTCCGACGGGCGGGCAATGCGCACCGGCCACGGCCGCAGCCAGCAGAAGGGCTCCACTCCACAGCCCGCAGACTGGGACAGCAAAAGGCTTCCCAGGACGAACAGTGCTGTGAAACACTTGCAAAATGGTGTGAAACACTCGCTAAAATCACAGGGCATGACGTCGGCCCGCCGGCTGACTCCTGGGGACGTGGGGCTTTTGTGTTCGGTGTGTCGGAGGGAATGAACTGCCGTGTATGCTGTGTACACCACACAGCATGATTTACAAACAAAAATTTGCTTTCAGTGACCCAGTCAAAGCCTTTGCTTGATGGCACACCAAAAAGGAGAATAAAACCTTTAGTAAAACTTATCAAAAAGGGTTATTTGGCCCTGCAGGGCAGCCACGGCGATGGGCGCGAGGCGCAGGGGCACACTCACGTTCTGGATGCTGATGGTCAGCTCTGTCTTGAAGTCACTGAAGTCCTTTGCCAGCTCGTAGCCATGGTGGTAGAAGGTGAAGAGCCCCTGCAGAAAGGCCAGCAGCTGCGTTGGGGTAAAACGAATCGAGACAGTCAGTAGAGACCCACGGCCGCTTTCAGAGCCGCCGCCACCGAGGGGACGCGTCCCCGCAATGCCCCGGGGTGCGGGGGCTCACTGGCAGTCCCTAGGAAGACGCCCTGTTCCTCATTTCCCTTCCAAAACCTCCTCTGAACAGACCCCAAAACCAAATCTGTGCTTTTCTCCCCCAAAGCCAAGCCCCGCCCCCAGGACCCTTCACCCCTCTGTCCCCTCTTCCTGCATCACCAAAGCCCTGGGGTCACTGAGAGCGGATCCAGGAGGTGCAGGAAAGAGCCGGGAGGAAAACCCAGCAGCACGCTGCCGTTCCCTGCATCACACCTCTCCCGACTCCGGGTTACTCTCCTCTTAGCAGGAATTACCTTCGCAAAGAGCCAGGGAGGTCTGGCACAGCCCAGAGGAGCTTTAAAGGACTTAGCACCTGAGCAAAGGTAAACCTTAGAAAAGTCTTTTTTGTTGTTTCTATTTCTGTCACTCCTGCACTCTTTTTCCCTTGGGAATCTTACAGTTCTATTTTTTCCCCCCCTGAATCAAGCCTATTTTTCTATTTTTCTTCTGTTTTTCTCTGCATCCCAGAGCTCACACAGGTGCTTCTCTCCCCAGATCTCCCTTGGAGGGAGGGGTGGTGGGGTGAGGCTGGAGCCCCCCAGACGCCCC